TAATAATAATAATAATAATAATAATAATAATAATAATAATAAACTTGATATAAGACTTTTCAGTTCTGTTGAGGAGGCCAGCTTTTTGTCAGACCACTAAAGTGCTATTAATATAGACTGAGTAGGTTGCTATTGCATTACTGAAGAGGATACTATTGGACTGTTATGTTTCACTCTTTTTAATGGCAGTCCCTTCCTAGAACTGCAGAATGAGAGTCTGACCAAAGTTGTCTCTTTTAATATTGAGCATGTCCAACCTGGAGGAATGCATAGAGCCAATATGGACTTGTCATGTATTTCTGTCAGAAGCTGCTGTGATATTAATAAAAGGCAGTGAAGGATATGTATTATAATAAGTGAGCCCTGCAACAAAATGTTGCAATGTGGAATGCTTCTATTCTGGATGCCAGCTGGCCATGCCCTCTTCCAGAATGCAATTCCATTCTCTCTCAACCTGGCTTTTCATAATTCCTCCCAAACACATACTCCACATTCTGTGAAAACTGATAACGAAATTTGAGGTTATCAGGGGTAGGCAACCTTTCCCCTTTAAGGGCCGAAGGACTTCAGCTCCCAGAAGCCTCAGCCATGTTGGCCAATAGTCCCATGTTGGCCAATAGCTCCTGGGATTTTGGGAACTGAAGTCCCTCGGCCCTTAAAGGGGAAAGGTTGCCTACCCCTGGGTTAGATGGTAGGTGGGTGCATACCATTCAACTGTCTCAGTTTGGCAGGGACAGTCCCAATTAATCACCTGTCATCCCTTTTTTTTCCAGCTGCTTTTAAAATGTCCCAGTTTCTTTCTCCTTCTCCCACTTTCTCCCTTTGTCCTCAACTGCTGCAAACTGAGTCAAAGTGCTAAAGTAGTTTAATTCAGCAGGGAAAAAGGAGAGGTCAGAATCTTATGTGTTCCCCCTCATTAATGACTTTTGCCATCTTGACCACATTTTGATGTTTCTTGGCCACATGTGTCTTGGTTTTCCCCTGGTGAGATGTTGGATGGTAAGTAGGCCTATAGGTCTTTCTCTTAGGATTCTCTTCCTACAGATAGTCTGTATTCCTGCAAAGCTGGGGGTTGCCCTGAGTGGGGATCTACCTCCCTCTTCTGGAGGAATGTTGCTTTTTGGCTTGCATAAAGTATAGCACTCACAGAACAAAAGTGTGGTGTAACCGGTATGGTGTAGTGGTTTGAGTGTTAGACTATGAATCTGGAGACCAGGGTTTGATTCCCAAACTCGGTCATGAAACTGGGTGACCTTGGGCAAGTCACACTTTCTCAGTCTCAAAGGATGGCAACGGGAAACCTCTTCTGAACAAATCTTGCCTAGAAAACTCCATGACACGTTTGCCCTAGGGTTGCCATAAGTCAGAATTTGCTTGAAAGCACACAACAACAACAACAACAACCGTGGTTTGAGCGTGGGACTATGACTCTGGAGATCAGGGTTTGGCCATGAAACCCACTGGTGTGACCTTGAGCGAGTCACACACTCTCAGCACCAGAAAACCCCATGATAGGTCTGCCTTAGGGTCACCATAAGTCAGAAATGGCATGAAGGCATACAGCAACAACAGCAACAAGACTAGATTAATTACCAGTAGATTTTATTTGAATAACAAAAAGTCTACTAGAAGAATATTTGTCATCACATTTGTTGTAATACATTAAGCTATACTGTATTGAGTTGCTTTTCATGCTATGCTTGGCTGGCGATATAATTAAGAAGGCTTGTCTCTCACAGATGAAAAGCCTCAGGGGTTGGCAAATGCTTTTTCGTTTGCTTGATGAAACAGAAAATGAAAATTCAGCCTTGATCAGGAGTACTGGAAGGGAGGAGGTTGCTTGCACTCTAGCACCATTCCTCCTCTTCCCCAGCTTTGATATAGTCCCCCCCAAGCCTGCTGTGTGAATTGGAGCTCATTGGCTCTTTGCTAATGGAAGGCACTCGGCTCTTTCTACCAGGTGCCTTGTTCTTCCTATTACATAAAAATATAATACATCAACAATTTTGCAGGGAGGATGGGAGCTTTGTTTTTCCCTCTGTTGTCTCTTTCGGCCCACAGATGAAGGCGACAGACTGAAGCATCTTTATTTAATCAATTGGCAACATGCCAAACAGCTCCTAAGGTGAAAAACAAGTTGTTTTTACCCCACGTAGTCCTGTTTGCTTGTCAGTGATTCATTGCCTAAGACCATAGCCGCCTGTTCTAAGCTGAAAAAGGACAGGGGAAACTGCACCCATGTTCAACCTGATGGGTGGCTAGTACATTTGGCCATTTCATCTTTCCGCTCAGGCAAGGGAGGATGAATAAGGGAATAAATATAAGCTTTTAAGCCACTTCCTACCTGGGAATCAGAAAGCAGTTTGTATTTGCAAAACTTATGTCCCTTGCTCAAAATCTGAAGTAACATTTTAAAGTATGCCATGCATATCCCATTGTAAGCTGTCCCTTTCATTTCAATGGTGTTGAATTGCCCCATTACATTATCGCACTGGACTGAATGCAGAGTTAGTGCAGGTTGAGTCTCTGTCTAAATGCTTGGGACCAACAGTGTTTGGGATTTCAGATTTTTTATTATTATTATTTTGGAATATTTGCATGTACATAATGAGATAGCTTGGAGATGGGACCCAGATCGAAACATGAAATTCATTTGTTTTATGTTTACCTTATACACATAGCCTGAAAGTAATTTTATGTATACCTTATACACATAGCCTGAAAGTAATTTTATACATAATGTTTTCAGTAATTTTGTGCATGAAACAAAGTTTGTGTACATTGAAATATTAGAAAGCAAATGTATAACTGTCTCAGCCACCCATGGTGGCATTTTTGAATTCTGGAGTATTTTGGAATTCCAGATAAGGGAAACTCAACTTGTATACTGTTTGAAATTACTTTGTGAATCCAGTGCAAAGGTATGCTAGAGGAAGAAGGAAGGAATCAAGAGTAATGAATCAACATTTACTTTCCTTCAGTATCAGAATACTTTTGGGTATATGGGATTAAGCAATAGTATCTATTACATGGCTTAGCGACTGGCCACTATTTGTATATTGTTTCTTAGACCACACAGATTTTAGAAATGCCTGAATGGTTTAGAATTGGTTCAGTTTCAGATGGTTCTCAAATATTGTTGAATTGCAAAACATAGCAATCCTAAAAAATACAGCCAATGGGAAGAATGCTGGGAGTTGTAGCCCAAAAACAGCTGAGAGCTATATGATTCCCATCCTTACCTTTAGGTTAGAAATTGATACAATTTCCTACTGAATTTTAGCCCTCTTTTTGTTTCAAGTGAATTTAGCTTTTGTATATTCCTGCAGGGTACCCAAGGGACTGAAATTCAGCTCATTACTTGCTGAGGACCACTTTTTCTGCGATTCCTGCAGAAACTAATCTCTATGCAATGTTTTCCCACAATTTGAAAGGGGATGCCAGTGTGGTGTAGTGGATTGAGAACTGGACTACAGCTTTGGAGACCAGAGTTTGAATCCCTGATTCGCCATGGAAACCCACTGGGTGACCTTAGGTAAGACACACACTCTCAGCCTCAGAGGGAAGAAAAGGTAAACCTGCTCTAAACAAATCTTGCTGAGAAAGCCCCATAATAGGTTCATCTTGAGGTTGCCATAAGTCAGAAACAATTTGAAGGCACACAACAACAATAAGTTGGGAAATATTTAATAAGTAGTACATGGTTTTTTTTAGCCAAAAACCTTAATAATTTGGTTTTTTTAAGATTATAGTGTTGAAAAAACTGAAGATTAATTGAGTACAGCTCATCTCTTGCCCCCTGATTTGTTTGTCCCCAAACTCAGATTTCAGGGAAGGTGACCTTCAGGGTATCATGGGCTTTGTTCCTTCCAACTCTTTGCTGCTTTGTCTATTTCCCTTCTAGAGTTTTGTTTTTCCAGCCCCCCTTCATCATCCTCCCAATGTCACTGCTGTTATAAAGACAACAGCCCTCCACCTAGACAGAAGTCAAGTTGATGCTGGATGGGAACAAAAATACTTTGTAAAAAGGAGCTTTTTGCCAGAAGCTTTGGACATTATCAGAAGTAATCAGCCGTAATCACATTATTTAAGGAAACAGAAACATACTGGTTTGGGAGCATTCATTATCACACTTCTCTGTAAGAGCATGAAGGTGCTGTTTTTGTGATCGATGGTCCCGCGTGCTCTCTTCTGCATGTCCTCCTTAATCCCACCTTCTTACCCAATGCCTTACCAAGCTTGCCTTTTTTATTTTTATTTTATTTTTAATGCAATTTTGGAGTGATGATAATGTGTTTTAATAATAAAAAAGTAAAAATAGCCTGCTTGGGGACAGTAACAGGGAAGAATCATACCCACTGACACTGACATGACTGCCCAGTATCAGAACTGCAGTGGAAGGGATGTACCACGCCTAAGGACTAATGGGAAATCAGCAATATTGGGATCTTATTGATGAGTTTTCCTGTCAATGAAAAGGGATGCTTTACTGATGCTTTTAAAGACAAAGTAGCAATGAGAGAGAGAGAGAGAGAGAGAGAATGTTGTATGATAAGTATGGCCAAAGATGCTATTCTCCAGCCTTAATTTAAGTTTAAATTCCTTGTGTGATAATAGCCTTCATTAACTCAGGTGTGCCTCTATATTATACTCTCTCCACCATGATCCCTTAAAGCCACTGAAACTTCCTTCAGTGCCATGCATATTTATATGTATGCTGTGTAAACTGTAAAGGATTGATAGCAATGTTGCTTTTGGAATGGGTTGGGGGCGTGTCTTTGTAGACAAGGCAACTAATGCACATCTGCTGTATAAGCAGCTCATGATCAGGGAGGAGTGAATGCCAAAATTTTGGGCTGACACTCCCATACTCCATGAGCCACCCATGGTTTTCTTCCAGTTTTGGCACTGAAAGTATAGTTTTGTCTGTGGTGTCTACAAATGCAGCAGATGATTCAGCTTTATACATACACTTACACACACAATAGCTTTACCACATTGCCTTTCAAAATGAGAGACATGTGGAGAGGAGAAGTCACATCTATTTGTTTTGAAAAAAGATACTAGCTCATTTTGTGAAGCATCCTTTTCACTGGAAAGCACCTGACTGCAAAGGAAGCAGCCAAGGCAGACAATGTTTTGTGTTTCCCCTGGCAAAGAAGTCAATGGGTAGCTTAATTCCACTTCCTAGACTCATTCCTTTCCCCCTCTCTGACTAATAAAGCTAAACCCACGCAGCCCCTTGGGGTGTATAACATTGCAGTGTGCATAACCCCTCCTCTACTATGCCACATTGACAGGGGTACCTGCTGCTTGCAAGAACGTCACACAGCTTCTGTTTATAAAGTGCTCACCACAATAGAGCTCTGAGGCAGTCATTCCCAGCCAGAAGCAGTGCGGCAGCTTGAGAGAGAAAGACAGAGGAGGCAAGGCAAGGCAAGGCAAGGCAAGGCAGTGATCCACTGAAAAGGCAAAGATGTTTTACTCAGGTCTCCTCACAGAACAAACAAGGAAGGACGTGGACATGAGGGAAGCTGCATCACTTCGACAGCAAAGAAGAATGAAGCAGGCTGTTCAGTTTAACCACAAGGACTCTGCTGACCTGCTGCCCTTAGATGGGCTGAAAAAATTGGGAACATCCAAGGACACTGTAAGAATTTTTATTTTTGCCAAGAAAACATAGATTCAAATGACGAATTGCATATTATTGCCAGTATCTGTCATATATATATCTATATATATATATAGATATAAAACTATATAACTATATATATATATATACATATATGTATAGAGAGAGAGAGAGAGAGAGTATAATGAGCTTGAGTTCCCCTTGAAAGCAATAGGAAATTAGTATAACAGTTAGGCTTGCAGAGGAAAGTGGGAAGGAAAGTGGAGGAAAGACTTGTGTTATGATTTTAGCATTTATTACATCACTGTTAGACATTATATATATTTTATCAGGAGCTAAACATGTTTTCAAATTCAACAGAATATTTATTAATTGATTATATATTTAAAAAGACTACTTGGTTTAGCCAGTTTGATTCATTTCCTATATGAAGCTTAATGTAAGCAAGGAATGGATTTTTTTAAAATGCAAGTTGATCAGTCAAAAAAAGAGTTAAAAATAGAGATTAAACACAGATAGTAATTTCTCCTCCTTATACTTGAATTTCTTCTAATTATGTTACTCCCGATCTGAAATATTTTGACTTTGACATGAGTTCAGTTGATT